CATTTTAAATGGTAAAGCAGTGAATTTAGCCAATTTGCAACCAGCACATGACTCAATACTAGAACTAGATGATACAGGACCAAGTACTCCAGACTGAATAAGACTCTCCAGCCTTTTATTACACACATGACCAAGTCGTCTATGCCATAAATTGGCAGGAAGCGAGGTAGAGGGTTTTGACGAACAAAGAGAAGCAACAAGAGAACGTGGACGTATGGACTCTGGAAGGTGAAGATATTCCAGAAAATACAGTTTGTGCCTCCTACGACCCGCCCCAACCGTCTTGCCCGTCTGTGGATCCTGCACAATACAAGTATCAGAAGAAAATGAGACAAACAGGCCCGCCATGCATAAAGAGCTAATAGAAATTAAATTCAAGCACAATTGTGGAGCCACATAGACGGGACCAAGTGTTAGACGACCAGATGGATCATTTTGTGGGGTAATAGAGCCATACTGAGTAATGGACAATGGTTGTCCAGCAGCTGTGTAGATAGGAGGAAGAGAGGATGAAGTAAAGACAGAGGATAAAAGTGAGGCATTACAAGTCATATGAAAGGAACAACCAGAGTCAAAAATCCAGAGATCATTCATACCAGAGACTGAAGGATTAGCTGAAGAACCAGCAAAATGCATACCAGAGAGTTGTGCGGCGGATGTAGAGGTGATATGTTGAAAAGCATCAAGTTGACGGCGAAGACTTTCAATAGCTTGAATAGTAGAGTCTGAAGTAGTAGAAGGTATAGCATTGGCCAACAATCCTGGTGTACGAGAGGGTTGAGACTGAGGGGGTCGCCGACCACGTCCAGTACCTGAGGAACGTAACTCAGGATGAAGCTTGAAGCATGTCTCAATGCGGTGTCCTTCCTTCTTACAATATTTGCAAGAGAGCTTAGATCGAGCCTGTGGAGAGGGAGCCTGTGGAGAAGTATAATTCATAACAGGAGCAGTGACAGGTACAGACAAAACAGTCTCGAGTGAAGAGGTAGGAGTGTCTGTTGACAAATTGAGTCGTGCTGTCTGCTGCCGGGTCTCATAAGCAGTGAGAGCTCCCATAACTGAGGCCAAAGTCGGAAATTGAGGCTGGTGAAGTAGTTGATCAGCCATAGTTGAATATTCAGGAAGGGACTGAAACAATTGATGCACCTCATGCCGTTCGTACCAGGCTAGCCAGTCTTCATATGTGGAATTACGTCCAGGAAGCATGGAGCGTAACTCTGTCCAAAAAGCTTGCATTTGTCCAAAATGGGACTGCAGAGATGAACTACCTTTGCGTTGTAGAGAAATGCGTTGCAGAAGATATGCCTCCCGTGCACCCGAGCACTCAGTGAAACGCTCAGTGAGACGAGTCCACATGGCCTGAGCAGAGGGAAGCGAGCCAATCTCGACAGTGAGACCAGAGCCAACACAGCGAGTGAGATAATCCATAACACGAAATTCCTGCAATTGCCACTCTGAACTCTCCTTGACATAGAGAGCACGAGCAGTCTGAAGATCGACATCACCACTGCCAGAGGCAATAGTACTGGATGAAGCAACAGTGCTGATGGACGGTGGAACTGGTCCCGTACTGGTGAGATGATCAAGCAAACCAGCGCCACGCAAGGCATTGGTGACAATGGTGGACCACCCTGCCCAGTCACTTTGATCATTGAGGGGCAAAGGTGGTTTGGGAATCTTCTCTGAAGGAGCCATAACAGCAATCTTGAGACGTTAAGATGTCGAGATGCTGTTACTAATGTCGTTCGTTTGAGGCCGAGAGACGGCTTGAAACGACGATGCCGTTAATTTGAGACCGAGAGACGGTCTTGAAACGACAATGCCGTTAAAATAGAACCCGAAGGTTAGAATGAAACCCGAAGGTTTAAAATAGAACCCGAAGGTTAGAATGAAACCCGAAGGTTTAAAATAGAACCCGAAGGTTAGAATGAAACCCGAAGGTTTAAAATAGAACCCGAAGGTTAAACGAGAACGCGAAACGCGTTAAGAGGCCGCAAAACGACAAGGCCAAAATATCTGGCAGATGAACGCCAAATAAATAATTAAAAATAAAAAAAAAATAAAACATTAAACGGCTGCAAAGCAATAAGGCCAAGATTTGGCAAAAGAACGCAAAAGCGTTAAAAATTTTATTGAAAGGGAAATAGCCCTAGCTCTGATACCATGTTAAAGTAAGAGAGAGAGAGAGAATCTTGGGTAAATTTCCCTTGAATTGAATATTGAGTGTGCACATATATTTATACAAGTAGAGGAGTGTGAGGTTTGTTCTCCCAAGCAATGTGGGACTAAAACCCACTACAATACACTATTATCAACATGTTGGAAACATAAAATTTTTTACTCCATTTAATTTTAAATTGATAATGGCTCGGGTTAGGGTAATTTTCTCACCACACACATGCACCTCTTGAAAAAAAAAAAAAATCTTATGATGGAAGCGTACATATAAAAGCCAAACCTATGCTACAAAGGGAGGATGCACATGCTTGGTTTATTGTATTTGGCCATTACCTTAAGTTATATGCTTGGATGGTGACGGTATAGCAAAATTTTTTGGAATTTATAATAAAATTGCTAATAATCTATCGGAGAAGAGATTTTGGAGACAGCCTGGTATTAGCTCGAGTATACTATATTGATCGTGTTAATCTTGGAGCTCAAAATTATTGGACCACTATATAACTACTACCATATAGACATGAGGGCCCCATATCCAAATTAATAGCTGAATAGTCTCTGAGTAGGTGTGTGGCACTAGTACATTAAGTTTAGCTTAAAATCTTCTTCCATGTTTAGTATAATCAGCTAATTAAGTAATATAATTTGCCTAATTACTATTAGTGATGTGCACATGATACATAAATGGGTGGTCTGCTATTATTATTACTACTAGGTGGAATGCATGTACAATGCACGTGGTCAAATATTATAATTGTTGACTTTTAGTTTATGTATTTACTATAACATAGTTGCAAAATATTTTATGATTATCATAATATATTTAAAAGTTTAAGATATTTCAATATATAAAATTTTGTTGGTTTAAACACTTTACCTTCCAAATTAGTGAGGTTTAAAGTCTTAAAATATTAATGATCTAAGAGCAATTTAATGATTTGGAATTCTACTTTTAAAATATTAATGATGTAAGCACCAATATCTAAAAAACCTATTATTATTAATGAAAAAATAAATCTTGAATTCATCAGCATAAAATGGTAGGTTTTGTCTGGTTATAGAGGATTTTGTTTAATTATAAAGAAATCACTCGCACCTATTGTCTACTTCCACTTTCTATTATCTAGCAACCGAGTATTATAGATATTCAAAAACTTTTTTCTAGAATTTTTAAAGTTAAAATGTGCAAATTCAATCAAGAAAAAAAATATAAATTATGTGACCAATTCTAAAGTCTGATATAATAATCTTCCTACATTTTCTCAACTAATTAATTAATTTGTCGAAACAATTACTCTCTAATTTTAGAAAACTATAAAATATAATCTGAGAATGATTTAAACATATTTTGTACACATATGGATTGTATTTTAACAAAATAATTTAGATCTATCTGTAGGCTGTCAAAAAATCACAATAGATAGCTGATCCCCATCAAAACACCGATGATAGAAGTTACAATCTGACGACTTTTCAGAAGGTTACAATTTGAAGACTTTCACGTAGACTGATGAAGGTTACAATCTGACGACCTTCACAACAACTGATGAAAGCTCTAATTCAACAGCCTTCACAATCAACATCGGGAGTTACAAATTGACGACTCTCATATTATCAAGAACTAAATGTAAGGATCACAATCTGATGATCCTCACAAAAGTTCAAAAAAAAAAAGATTATAATTGACAATCTCTTCAACGCGAATGTCGCGTTTGACCATTTCAAATCCTTGAAACGGTCCTCCACTTAATAGGGAAACTAACCTCCATTATGGAGCTAATTAAGGGCCCGTTTGGATAATAGAAGTATTGGAAGTAAGAAATAGATTACGGAAGTAACTTCCAAAACTATGAAGTAGGAAGTAGCGGAAATAGTATTTTTTTTGTTTGTTTCATATATTTTTAGAAGTAATGGAAGTAGAACTTCTTCCTCTTCATTTACTTTTTTTGTTTGGATAATATTTGGAAATATTACTAGGAAGTAATTAATACATGTTGTTTCCATTTTATTCTTGTTTGGATTGTCATTGAAATAGAAATAGAAATAGAAATAGAAATAGAAATGAAAGTAGTATAACACACCACATGCCTCAAGCATTGTTGTGCTTAAAAGTTAGAACGCTCACATCACGAGTTGAAGAAAAAGAAAACGATGGAGGAATGGATAAAGCACAGACACATACACAAACTAAACAAATGGAAAAGGAAACAACGTATATTCTTTCTGGTTTTTCAGGTCATTTATATAGGCATGGTAATATTTGTGACTAATTTTCCAAACTGCACTTGTTAGCGTGGGGGCAGCATTATTCCTATTTCAGCAACTAGGTGGTATAAATGCTGTGGTATATTACACTACATCAATATTTTTCCTTACTAGAAGCTCTCCCAATAGAGCAACGGTATCATCGCGCTTATACCATAGTAGAAGCATTTCATTCTGATATTTTTTTAATGGGTTTATTTAGTTTATCTATTCAGAGAATTATCAAAGAAATATTTTCCTTTTCTCTTGCAGGTAGAATGTACACAGAAGCTTTTGTGCAATGGATCGAAACTCTACAGCACCAGCTGAGTTTCCGGGAGACTATTCTTATGATATATTGCCAAACTCAAGGGGTAAGGGAATGCTTTGGTAACCAATGTGACAGTATCATCCAAGAACTCGAGGTCTTTAAGCAGAGTACTCTAAGTGCTCCAACAAGAAGAGATCACCAAGTACCACCAATCCTTGGTTGAAGTTGTATCTCAAAGGAGCACAAACATGACAACAGATAACAAGATAAAGTTGTAGATGCACAGGGATTTTCGAAAGTCATTAAATAAGAATAAGAATATGAGCTTAAGTCAAATTACAAAAAAATGACAGATTTTTAACACACGAGACAAGTGCTTGCAACAAGATCAGGAAGATGTCTATCCATACAGAACAGTAATATTTGACATTATTTTGATCATTTGGTGCCAATATAATTTGTCATATCTAACTACACAAGCAAGGATTTGAACAACAATGGCAATCAATGTGTCCAAGTCGTGAAAAAGTTAACACATATGGGGTTGAGAATACATACCACATAAGCAAAAAGAACTATGGCTTCACCATGAATAATGAATGAATAAACTCTAGAGACACGAGGCAAGCACTGAACATTAAAGATCACAAGAACACCAAGGTCATCACTTTGCTGGTATGGACATACTACTTTTTATTAAATCAATCATGACAGCTAGTAAATTTCTGCAATGTATAAAGACTGAAGTCCCACTTCTGGTAGATGAGTATGAAATAGAGTGAGTTCTTACACCAGGAAACCAGTGCTGACCCCCATGTGAAAGGTAAGCTGCATCTGGATTATACAATCCAACCAAGGCCACATTAGCATCTTCAGCATAATAAACCATGTGTCATTGCCAGGGGATCATCATGCATAAATGCAAATAATCTCTCATTTCTCGGTTCAACAGAGAACAAGGTACATGCCTATCATCAAGGTGTGTCAAGGTCAATCAATTATTCTTATTCTCGGTTCAACAGAGAACAAGGTACATGCCTATCATCAAGGTGTGTCAAGGTCAATCAATTATTCTTATGGCATGTAATCATTCAATAGAAATTTTTCAACATGGCAGGCAATCATTTCATTCACAAATTGCACCATGGATATACTGCAAATGCAAGGAAATATGTCCATTGAAAAAAGTTCCAAGTCAACAAGACTATACAGTTGTTGCAAAATATAACATCTGGATCACTCGAGCAATAGTTTCCCAAGAGAACTTGGTAAGCATTATTTATAATGCATCAAAATTTCAACAACTCATATTTTCTTTTCTACTAATAACCACTTAAAAGATGGCATAAAACATTAAAGAGGACTTTATAGTCTACTGAACTTATTCAGGCATCTAAAAGGTATAACTGTAGATGATGTTAAGAGAAGTAAAGGCAAAGGTGCATTTATCTTAGGAATCATTTTTGTTAATATCCAGCATCGCAGAGATAATATTTATCTACAATATTAACATGAAACCAAATTATTAAATACTTCTTTTTAAACTAATAAAATAGTTTTAAATTTAGTTTACATTTTAGTACCTTTTATCAAATGCAATCCCTTTGGAGGAGGCACAAACAATGCATCCCTCAAAACTGTAAAGTCATTAGCGGACCCTTCCCATCCAGCCATGACATAACAAAATAGCTTATTAGGTGTAACAACTCCAAGCACATTTTGTGTGGGACCATCTTTACGACCATGAAATCGAGCAACTATATTATCAGGGACAGACGCAGCAATGTGTGTTCCATCAATCATACCAATACAGTTCTGACCATTTAAACAAATGAAACATATAAATCCACCATTTTATATTACATATTACCTTAAGAAGTATAGATATAAATGATTGAAAAATAATCCACTTTACCTCAAACCAAGGGTACCAAGTTGATCTACAACGAATCTCATCGGATACCTCACCACTCGCTTGCTTCATTAGTAATGGTCTTAGTTTTAATATTGCCACGAGGACTGCATTGAAGTACCTACTAATAGTTTCGCCTGAACGTACGAAGTTTATACCAACAACCCTATTTTTTGCATTATGCCCTACTATGTGTAAAAACATAGCAACTTGCTCCTCGATGGAAACATATATGGTATCTTTAAGAAGTCTAGACTTTCGTAACATGCGAACAAGGTTAAAAAATGGACCTCTATCCATTCTTAAGTAGTCATATGTAAATGTTCTGCCGCCATAGAACAACCGGTAGATATAAGCATTTCTCAATGAATCTCTCAACTCGGTTGGTTCCCTAGGAGTTACTTCTCTTTTATTCTCAAACAACATAAAGTAAGCACACACTATACACGCCACATATGCAGCAAAGCAACTTAGTGTAGCATCTCTAGCTTTTGAAGGTTCCATATTCTACATAAAACAAATAAAACAATGTTACAAAATTAAAAAATTAGCGCACGTGGTTATTATAAAAATTCGCCAATTTATTTCTCACATCAACAAAAAATTAGCTTGTGGCTGTTCCCTTGTGGTCAAGTAGTCAAGGGTTGCACTTACCATTAACCTTTCTTTAGCTCTGTAGAAACCTTGTCAAAACCCTTTTATAGAATACTCCTTACCCTCCAGTAATTTGGGTGCTGCTAGCCAGGTTTTTATTAATGTTATGCAGCTGGAGTGATATAGCCAACAGAGTCATGTATTAGTTTTATGAGAAATCATAGGTTTCCAAGTCCTGTAAATATGATATAGAGCATTCTTTTCCATGAAAGTAATGACGTTTCAAGATGTCTTTTGTGGGATGGCATGGCTTTCTACATGTGCAATGCTTGAGGACTCCCTGGGAGATTTTTTGCGGTTGAAAATTTCAGAGGCAGTGCAAATATGTATAGACTTCACATGTGCATTGTATTTTTTTTCTTTTTTGGGTTTAATGTAGTTTCTTGTGTACATATGTATTTTATGTCTAGTTATAATTTCTTTGTTTTCATATGTATTATTTTGCAAGGATCCTGCGAGGTCTAAGTTTTGCACATTTAGATCCTGCGTGATCTCTGACTTTATTAAAAGGTGTAACAGCTACTCAAGTTGTAATAATTGTATTTTCACAATGTAAATAAACTTCAACTTTACCCATCCATGTAACAGAAAGGTAGAGGCTTTTTTCAACAACAATAACCTATCACAAAAATCCCCAACTAAACCCAAGGAACAAGCAAAAAATGAGAAAAAAATCCTTCAATTTCCATCATCATCTCAAGATAGAACAAGTCAATTCAAGCTTTGAAAAAAAATCAAGTGATTCTATCGTGTGAGGGTGTCGATTGCCTGATAAAGTCGGAGGAAAGTTGGAAATGGTAACCTTTACATACCTTTACAAAAAATTAAGGAGAATAGTATCACATAAAATTGCTTGTGGAAACTAAAGAAAAACAACAAACCAATAAATACATCCACCAAGATCTCTTCTTTTTGTGCAAAAGATGTAATTTAATTACAATAAAAGATCAAAATTTAACCTTTACATACCTTTTGGGGGAAGCCAAGAGGAAGAAGATGAAGAAGGAAGGACGTTTTTTGCTGGGAAGTCGGCGGGAGCTAGAATTACCGCCAGCTTGAGGAAACCCTTTCACGCGGGGACTAATCTGTTGTGAGGATATAAATAATTTGGTGAAGGACGGTTAGGTTGAGAGGAAGAATGAGCTATGTGAAGATAGGAAAAGAATCTGGAGTTGAAAAAATATTTGGGGAATCATTTTTTCCGTGGACCCCACCCTAAAAATCACTTCCGCCGTATTTCATAGTATTGGAGATCGGAAAAATATTAAGGAAATAGAGATGCCAGCTAGATGACACGTCAGCTTTTAAGGAAGTAGCGGAAGTAGCTTTTACGGAGAAACAAACAACATTTTTAATATGGAAGTAGCAAAAATAGGCTCTACTTCCTCTACTTCTGCTACTTCATAGTTACTTCAGTGTAAACAAACAGGCTCCTACAAATAGGTGGTTTTCACAGCAAAATCGGGCTGGTGGTAGAGGGCTAGACGAAATTAAAAGAATAGAGAGACAAGCAGAGAGGAAAAAAAGTCAGATTTGCGCAGTTGTGATCGGCGTGACGATCGACCCTCATCCGTGTGTCCGATCGATGTGAAATTTGGAGGGTAGCTTCTATACTCGTCTTTCCTAATTCTGAACGGTTGGAGATTTCTTTCTATCGGTTAGATTTGGAGATATGAAGGTTTTACGAAGCTGGTCGTTCCAGGAGTGCAGAGAAAAGTCAGATATTGCGCAGTTGTGATCGACATGACGATCGGACCCTCATCGTGGTCCGCATCGATGTGAAATTTGGGGGTAGCTTCTACACTTGTCTTTCCTAATTCTGAACGGTGGATATTGCTTTCTATCGTTAGTTTGTAGATATGAAGGTTTTACCGAAGCTAGTCGCCTTCCAGGAGTGCAGAGAAAAGTCACTTTCGTGATCGGCGTGACGATCGCGACCCTCATCCATGGTCCGATCGATGTGAAATTTGTAGAGTGTCTACTACACTTATGCTTTCCTAATTCTGACGGTGGAAATTACTTTCTATCGGTTAGATTTGGAGATATTAGGGTTTTACCGAACCTATAAAGGACTGGCGGAGCTTTTTGAGATTGGCCGAAGAGAGAAGAGATCAGGCTACTCTTTTGAAATGATTGAACTTGCTTTGTTATCATCAACTCTTTTAGAGTTTCCCTAACTCGATCAGAGTTTT